TAAGTGCTTTACCTTGAGCTTCACTATGCTATCTGAAATGGGACTAGGGCGAATTGTTTCGAAAATAGGTTTTGATTTGCAGGCTCCGAAGAAGGCAATACTGCCGAAACGTCAGTCTGGTAAAGGACTTATAACAATCTCGGATTGCTGAATAAAGTTCTGTGAATATCAGCTGAAACCTTTTTATGTCATGGAACGAGCTTCAAGGTTTCCCACGCTTGATCATAATTGAGCATTGGATATTATTTGATCAGGACTGTGGTAATATATACCATTTTCACTTTGAATTCACCACTTTTCAAACCAAATTCACCCCTTTTCAAACCAAATTCACCATTTTTTTCAAACCAAATTCACCCCTTTTCAAACCAAATTCACCCCTTTTCAAACCAAATTCACCCTCACTTTTCAAATCAAATTAACCACACTTATTAGGGCGGGCAACTCATCAACCAGATCACGCCAGACACCACTGCGAGCCCCGCCCCGACGGCCACGCCTACTTGTCAGCGCGGACATAGATTTTCAAATCTTGTTTCATAACTTCTGCTTATGGTTAGGGCTGCTGCGTGAAGCCCCACCCACTGTGAGAGGCTCCGCCCACTTTGAAGAAGCCCCGCCCACTTTTCAAAAATGGTGCAAGTCGGCAGTATAGGGTCTTGGCTTTTATGCTAGGGTCTCTCGTCACTCGGAACAAGAAAATCAGACAAAGTTTGTCCCGAATGATCAGCAATCGGTGTCGGGGCGGAGCGTGGTGTCTCGCGTGATCTGGTTGATGAGTTGCCCGGCCCTAATAAGTGTGGTTAATTTGATTTGGAAATAAAATGGTGAATTTGGTCTGAAAAGGGGTGAATTTAAAGTGAAAATGGTATAACAATATCGACTGGATACGGCCAGTGCAACTCGTTAACATTAATTGTAACTATTCAAATGATGAAATGAACATTCAAAATAATGACTATATTGTCCACAGTAAACTATATATTGTTATCAACTACTATATCTGTTTACTGCTACATTTGAGGGGGTCTCTCCGACACTCTTGCTTTGTTGTTTTTCAGTGCCAGTTTGTTTGATTATGCCGCATATTACACGGGAGCGCCGATGATTCCCAGTTACATCCCACGTAGGTTTGCATCCTTTTACATTTGCTCAGACACTTTTGATTTCGGAATGTAATTTTGAAGTAATTTGGAAAATCCTGGAAAATACTGTGAAGTGTTTTCCTGCAGCTACACACGAGGTGGTTAATTCAGCTTTATTAGCTTACATTTGGGGGGGGGGGGGATCGTCTTCCTCAGAATATGGAGGGGCGTAGCACTTTAGGCAGCGTTTAGACTTAACGCGCTGTCAAGCGGTTTAACACGCATTACTGCGCAATAAACGGTGCAGCAACGCGTGTTCAAGCGCTATACAGTGCGTTTAGACTGAACGCTGCCCAGCCTTCGTATATGGATTTTCATCAATTTTGGTGAGTTGGGGTGTTTTGGGGCGGGCGCCAAGCGATTTCGGGCCAAGCGGATGTGACGTTCATGTTTAGGAGGTCACTGGGGAATAGTGCAATAGTGCCAAGCGCGCTTGTGACTGTAGCGTGTTAAGGCGCTTGAATGGGCTCTAATACGCAGCAACGCGTGTTCAAGCGCAGCAAGGCTCTTATAGACTATCGAGCCTGCAGTAACCCCTTCAATCGTCCTTCACTCAGGGTTATTATTGGAAGACTACCCTTGAAAGATGTCTTATTTCCTACGTCATCGTGGGCACCCCAAACTCCGGTTCGTTCTTGGATTGGCGTCCGGATGCCTCGGGTTCCCATGCGGATGTTTGCGATCCTTGCTCAAGACTATAGCCTGATCTCGAAATCGCCCCCACTATGGGTTTGATCCATTCAACCCCCCTTGTGGCAGCGAGACGAACCGTGAAATACTCTCGCGCTTCTGGTACGCTTTCAATCTTCACTTGTATTGGCCGTGAGCTTTTGCCTTTGTTCCCATAGGAGAAACATCAAGAGAGCTCAAGCCTTTGTGTCGTTCCCGTTATGTCGTCCACCTAGATGCGCCATTGAAGCACAGATGGGTCGATGTCCGAACCTTCCACAAGCGCGCGGATGTTGTATTGAACAAAGAAGGAAAAAGCCCGTGAATTCGTTCCTGAAAACCTTGTAAGGCCTAACTAGTTACATGAGAAAATAACTGCATTAAAAAAGCGGAAAGTAATAGGTGGGGTGCACCGATAAGGCTGCGTTTATACTTTGCGGCAGCGTAGCGTAGCGCAGCGTAGCGTAGCGCTTCCAGCGTACGCCAGCGGCAGTGCCGAAGAGAGGATGCATATCGATCTAGCCAGCGTTCACCAGCGGCACGCTGGCGTACGCTAGCGTACGCCAGCGTTTCTCCAGCGTTTCACCAGCGTTTTGCTAGCGTTTGCAGCGGCAGGGGAGTAGAGACTATGGGAGAGCTGGAGGGTACAAAACACATCGATTGCGCGTCTCTCACTCGCCCTTAGTCTCTACAATGCACATCGCTTCTGCGTCTCCGACGGCCACATAGTCTCTACAATGCACATCGCTTCTGCGTCTCCGACGGCCACATAGTCTCTACAATGCACATCGCTTCTGCGTCTCCGACGGCCACATGGTCTCTACAATACACGTCGATTCCGCGTCTCTCACGGCCACATAGTCTCTACTCCCTGCCGCTGCAAGCGCTAGCAAAACGCTGGTGCCGCTGGAGAAACGCTCGAGAAACGCTGGTGAAGCTAGATCGATAGCTATGCTTCCCGTGCCCTCGCTACGCCAGCGTGCGCTAGCGTGCCGCTGGCGTACGCTAGCGTACGCCAGCGTGCCGCTGGTGACGCTGGTGAAGCTAGATCGATATGCATCCTCTCTTCGGCACTGCCGCTGGCGTACGCTGGAAGCGCTACGCTACGCTGCCGCAAAGTATAAACGCAGCCTAACCAGTAACTAGTGGTTGGTGAAGGGAATAGAAAGCACTCCTAAGCCTGCGTGTAGCAGACGCAGGGCACGTATACGGGGTTGGGGCTGGCGCCGTGTTAATTCGCTCTCGCTATCAATTGTTGTTTGTTCCCACGCTTCAACAATTGGCGTACCAAGTCTGATCGGGCCGGCGCCAACCCGCACCCAGCGCCCTACCTTGACACGCCCCAGCATCCGCAGTGAACAAAACTGTAGAACACCTGCATCGTCTTCTTCATTCATGAACACTTCCACCGCTTAAAGGCACATTCCGCGATAAAATAAGGCTATGACCTCTCAAATGTGTCGGACGATCCGGAAGGCGATTTTTGAGGCTGCGCTACTTTCAAAATGTGAAAAACGGCAAGAACTCCGCTAGAAGCTGACTAATTAGGCCCATGGACACCCCTTAGGCCCATGCCGACCCTCACCACTATGTTATCTTTCTCTATAACATTTCGGACTGCTTTTTCTGCTGCTTTTCTCCGCTAATCAGATACTTAGCACTTTTTTGTGCCTATTTGAGTTCCGTTTCCCGCAATTTGCGGTCGCGAACTGTGCCTTTAACGAAATGTTTCGCATTTCAGCAATTGTGATGGCGAGTACGGACGAGATGGATTTTTATGAACGGACGAAAAGTTTTATCGGCCACATCCTAACAGTCTTAATCTGGAAAAAGTAAGCACCACTTGTATGAAAGACCTTTGTTCGGGAAACAAAGGGCGACTCTACGTGACGCCATTGTTGCACTTTTTTTAAGTCCATACCGTCAATGCTCATTGCTATTTTCTTGTCCAGAACGTTCGCAGATGAGAGCAGACAGAACTTTTCCGACGGATTGATCCAGACTTCCCTCACATAGTCGGACCTAGTGACGAAGGCCCCTTTGGTACTCTTTCTAGTTGGCTGCTTCAAAATAATTTGAAATGTAATTCCAACAGATTGATTCAGGTGATGGTGAATTCTAATGAGCTCTTACGAACTGACGCGTCCAACATTGGCAAAAATTGTGAACATTGGAGGTATTGGGATGCAACTGAAGGATGCTCGACCGCTATCCAGTGTGGGTTCAGTATTTCCGATTGCCTACAGTTCTCACCTGGGTACAGATTTTGAAAGCTGACATTGAACGGTCATACGAATTACTAGTAAAGAAACACTGAGCGTAAAGAAACACTGAGCACTGTTTGCTTCTCACTGCTTCAATTTTTGAGACCTTGATTTCTGAAAACTTCATGCTCGGCTGAAAGGGGATAAAAAGTTTATGCCTGGCGTAGTTTAAAGGCAGTTGGCACGATAAATCACCCCAAAGCGACTAGGATCAATACTCCTGGCAGGATAGAATTCCACGACTCTGGGCAGGCATGCATAGCGGTTTCCCCGAGGAAGGTGCCCCTCAAAGAGCGTCTATCAAGCCACAACTTTACGTCCCAAACGCCCGCACGCCCGCCCGCCCACAAATGGGCGACCGTTCCTGACGCTCGTATTCATTCATTTGCTAAGCAAATTATGAAGCGAAGGGATTGGTATGAAGCGGTCCGTGATGCTGCATGCATACATGGGTACACATATGCAGCCGTATCTTCGGTAGCGGTGATTGGTAAGATGCCTACGGAAAACTCGTCCGAAATCGATTTACAAGTCACTGAAAACGGAGGCTTTTTCTTCGCAGGATTTTGACCGTTTCACTCCGTTCTTTCGCCATTTCCCCACTATACAGCGCCCTACTAGCATTTTAGGCTAAGTAGGAAACCATCGTGCCCACTGCCTTTATCGGTCTAATGCGAACACCACGTTTGCCTGGCGCGAATCCTCGCTGCGCCAGATCCGCTAACACCATATATTTGAGTAATCAACGATTAGGAGATTCTCAGTGGCTTCTGGTCTTCTTGGCGCCGAGTCGGTCAAAATCGGTTGGGACGTATAGTTGGAAAGTGCAGCAGGTAGGATTGTTAAGCCCAACCCACATAAGTCGATACTGTCTTCTCTTCCCTGGACATACGCTGGCGCACTGTCAAAAAGATGGTCTGTATCTCTTACGGAACGGGTCAGCTGGCATGTGAGTGACATCTACGCCTGGAGCAACTCAATTTCTAGAGGAAACGATGAGTTGGGATTTCCAGTTAAAATGTTGAATTTCAGGAATTCCAAAAAATCGTGGACCATTGTGAAGGTCTAGTAGTGTTCTCATTCGGCTCGGTAGCTCCCAGTCACTTAATGCCAGAATCGTGGAAGAAAGCTTTCCTGGAGGCATTCGGACGCTTTCCAAAACTACATTTCGTGCTCAGATACGAAGGAGCCGACTTGAAAGGTTTGTGGCTTTATGGGATTCCTGACCAGCTAATATGCTCTTCGCTGCTAATGAAGAAAAGGGACAGGCACGATAGGAAAAACTGTTTGTATTTTTTTTATTTTTGGCGATATTCCGATTGCTTCAATTCAGATCGACTCCCACCGAATGTTCACTTATTCAAATGGTTGCCACCAGCGATCTGCATAGGCATTCCCAAAACAGTAGGCTTTCATATGCACATTGGCTGGTTATACGTGTACAGGTTAAGCTATTCACTTACGAGCTTATCGGTGCCTCGTGAGTGGAGCGTCCGAGTTGGTAATTGCAGTCAGGCGTGGCTGTCGTCGTGGTACCGAGGCAATCGCCCTGCTGATCCCTCAACACGACGCATCCAGGTGGTTCAGAGTCCCCGTGAGCCCCAGACCTAGGACTCACGTCATCCCAGGGGTCCTCCTCGGGGACCACACTGGTCTCCCCCCAGTGCAGCCTCCGCTCCCCGAGGGTCTACAGGGTTCCTATCCCAGGGGGGTCGTGGGGGGAACCTGCGGTAGGCAGCAACCTGTCCGCCAGGCGGCTGGTCTACCCCTGACCCAGCCACAAGGACCAGGCCAGGGATTCCCTGGCCGCCGGACGCACAACCGGTAGGACTAAGCAAAACACACAAGCCTACGAAATGCATGACACAACATCCTACAGCGCCTTAGTCGGGCCCCAGCCCTGGCGCTCCCCAGTGCTTGCC